ACTTTATCCTTTGAAACTTTAAGGTTTATAGTACCGGGTTTGGGGCTTCTGCCTTTGAGTTCGTGGGGAGCTTTTAGAGTTGTAGTCCCGGTGCTGGGTTCGGAACCCCAAGTATGCCCCGTCCAGTCTGGACGGCCGATAGTCGGGCTTCGGAACCGCCAGCCCCGGCAGTGGAGCAACATCCCCACAATTTGATTTACATGCCCTGGCCCACCATGCCATTGTGCAGGTTCATGACATAATAGTCGCAGTATCCACCGTCCTGCTCGGACGGTGTATATTGCAGGTTGACGCTCGGAAACCGCGAAGATGAGTGACAACTCTCCCCGCGCCAGACGCGAAATTCAATGGTGAAGCAGGGCCCCAGGGTAGCATCAGCCCTGGCGACGCAATGGCCATCACGCACGAGTCCAGGCGTGTCCCTCTCACCGAAATTTCCTTGCAGGACCGATGTTGACTTGCCTCGTGCGATGTGGGGTTAGGCTTTCGTTTTGACTTCTAACAAAGCACTTCTGATGTCACGGAGACGTGTTGTCAGCACCTGTTGAGGATGATAGTGGGTGGAGGGCTTTGACACAATCCCGTGTCGATGACCTGTACGAGGAGATCGTGAAAGGCCAGTGGGGCAAGAGCAACCTGGCGCCACCTTCTTTACTGGTCACTTCGAGTGTCTCTGGCCTCCAACCGGTTCCGAGCCAGAAGGATTCATTGTGGAGGTTGGGCAACGGCAAGCATTGCGTCCGAGCCTGGGCCACGTACCTGGAGAAACAAGCGCTGACCACACCAGAGACGATTGCAGCCGCAGCAGGCGATGGCTCGCTTGACTGCCTTGGTGCAGAAGGCAAGCTGGTCGTTACGGTTGGCCTGATGTGCCAGCTGGTAGAGTATGATTCCACCGACGCCCAGGACATTCTCATGCACATGGGTGTCCAGCACGATGCAGAGTCCGTCTCGAACACGTTCCAACAAACCAGCTTGCAATCGAAATACGACATCGTGGTTGCTGCGCAGGCAAGAGTGGCCGGCGGGACCCTCGACGCGGCCGTAAAGCTGCTCACGGACCAATTTGGTGCCAGCAAAAAGGCAACTTTCTGGCGTTGGGCCCACATGAGAGACGTGCTGCCGGAGCAAGTCAGGGTCAAGTTCGATGAACGGCGCGGCTTCATGCCACAGGGCTATGCTTTTCGTACGCACTGAGGTGTGCACTTTGTATGGTTATCATAGTTACAGGGTTGCCAGAGCTTCGGCCTGCACCAACACCAGGTCTTTGACAATCGCTACATGACTGGCGTTGGAGAGGCATCAAAGTTCAGATTGGGCCCAGTGTGGGCCATCGCTGCTTTCGAGCTCTTGTGTGACCACTTGGACGGGCAGCCTGACCCATCCGCCAGAGGCGTCACAGCCGCGCAGTTTGCCAGCGACTTTTGCAGGCCCTTGAAGGCCGGAGAGACATGGTGCAAGCAGCAAATGAGCAACTTCAAGAAGGTTGCAGAGTCATCCGGCAGCTTTCAGTGTCTCGTCTGCAGCTGGCGCATCGGGGTCGTCACATGAGGTTAGTATGAGCAGTGACACGGTAAAGTCTTGAAGTGATGAGCTCTGACACGAAGGCGTGTTTCTGCTTGGCTGCGGACAGACAAGGGCCGCAAGGCTGTGTTGAAGTGCTTGAGCGAGAAGGTGCCGCTCCCAGCTTCCTTTTGGAGATACTGTAAGTCAACAAGCTCAGGGTTTAGGGTTTAGGGTTTAGGGTTTAGGGTTTAGGGTTTAGGGTTTAGGGCATTAGGACCACGAGGGTCTGAGAGTGTTGCTAGGACTTTCCGGCCAGGACATCATAGCCCGGATGCAAAAAGGATATTGAAAGGATATTAGGGCTCAGGGTTTAGGGTTGAGGGTTACGGTCTCGTCCTCTTCTCACGGTCTCGTCCGCTTCTAGGGGTTGTGGGCTGTCACGGTCTCGTCCGCTTTTACGGCTTTTGGTAGGGTTTCGGGTTTGGGTTTATGAGTTAGGGTTTAGGGGCTAGGTTTAGGGTTTATAGAAATTGTAAAGGGTTTGTGTCCGGAGTTTTGAGGTTTTGGGGTGGTTTTGGGGCTTCTGTGATTTTGACTTTGGGGCTGGGCTGGCACTGGGGCTGGGGCTGAGGGTAGGGCTGGTAGGCTGCGGCACTGTGGGTTGGGGGGTGTGGGGGGGAATGAGTCGCAGTGGAGGCTGCGTGTCAAGTAAGGAAAGGAAAATCTTTGCGGACATCGCGGATATGCCCGCCGCGTACGCCGCGGGTATCCCAACAATGTTAGGGAGGGGCGGGAGGGGCTGGATGAGGCGGGTTGTGTGGGAGGGGGTGAGTGGTGGGAGAAGCACGTGGTGCTTTATGGGGGGGGGGGGCTTGAACGCCGAAGCATGTCGTGCTTTATGGGGGGTTGTCAAAAGTGCTGGAAGTGGCCCAGGTTGGGGGTTTCGAGCCCCGAAACCTGGACTTGGGCCAGAAGAGGGCTTGGGGGAGTGGGGGAGGGGAGCGGCTGGAGGAGCTGGAGGGGCCGGAAGGGCTGGAGGGCTGGAGTTGTGAAGCAGGTTATTGTGCGAGCTGCTCGTAATGAATCACATTCAATTCCATTTATCCTGGTCTTGAGGGTTTAGGGTTTAGGGTTTGGGGTTTGGGGTTTAGGGTTTAGGGTTTGGGGTTAGGGTTTAGAGGGTTTAGGGTTTAGGGTTTGTTTCTTCTTGTCCTGCTGAGGTGTCCATCAGCACGCTGCAAGAGCTCAAGGGCATGACCGAGCAGCTGAAGGAGATGCTGAAGGCGAGTGCAGGCGCAGGTCGTGAGGCCCAAGCAGAAGCCTCCGTGCCAGCGGGGACAACTGCCTCAAAGACGGATGAACCGTCTGGTGATGTGGAGGTTCACAATGACGACGTCATCATGGATGCCGCTGATGAGGCCAAGGCTGTGGACCCGTTGCTGGAGAAAGCAGAGCGGGATGCCGCAGCAGACCTTGTGAAGGCCACTGTCCATTTCGACCGGAAGGCCTGGCTGGAGGAGCTGAAGCTTCACTGCTTCGCTGGCTCCAAGGTGATCGCCGTCGTGGATTCCTGCACGAGCAAGCTCAAGCATGTGATAGAGCAGATGACCTTCATGGCCGACACCGTGAAAAACCTCATGCAGCCCGAGAGTGTGAACATCTTAGTGCCAGTTGGAAAGCGGCTCGATCTTTTGAGCAGTGTCTCGCAGAAGGCCGAGATGCTGTTCCCCAAGCAGAAGGTCTTCGTCGTGGCATCCTGTGCCAGCGATTCGTGCTTAAGCTGCAATTGCGCATTGACGAACAAAACTGGTCATCCTGGACATGACAATCGGACCTACAAGGTTACACGGTTCGGTTGACACGACCTGGGGGTTGATACAGGGTTTAGCAGGGATTAGGGTTTCGGGTTGAGGTCCCTAAGTTATGCGTGCCCGGCTCGGCCTTCCCCCCCACCCCAGCATCCCCAAAAAAAGTACGATCGGTTGAGGCAGTCGCAGAAGCGGGTCCCCAGCTATCTGGTGTACATTCCGGGCACGTCGGCCAAGGAGAACGTGCCAGTGATGATCAAAGCCAACAGCGTGAAGGCCTCGGCGTGGGAAGGGCTTCGCATGGTTTGCAAGAGCCGTACATGCTGCTATCGAGCTGCCCCCGCGAGCAAAGATGAAGCCGACTTGAATGAGGAGATTTGCCCCGAAGATATGGAGGAGGATATCAATACTGATATGGATGTGCAGGAGTCGGACGGCGAAGCCGTGGAGGCTGTGGAGGAGCCAGCAGCTGCAGATGGCGGCAGTGGCAAGAAGAAGAAGGAGTACACCGTTGCTCTTTGGCCCTTTGCAAAGCCATTGCAGCACTGGCGAGTGGTTTTGGACCAGGTGGCCCACGCTAGCAGTGCCAAGTACCTGGTGTGCGCCAGTCGTTCCGCCCATCCTGGACTCGTGGCCGCAGCAGCTTGACTTCCCAGCAAGTTGTAGCTCATCCTTATTGCCTCCATGTCTCAGTCTTATGAATCGTCATCTCTTTGTCAAGGGTTTGCGAAACCCTGAACCCAAAAAAACCTAAACCCTAAACCCTAAGCCCTACACCCCAAACCCTAAACCCTAAATCCCGAACCCTAAATACTGTTTTCGCTGCGATTGAGGGCCGTCTTTGCGGGCTTGAAGTTTTCAGCTTGGTGGAGTCCGCCTCCACGCACTCCCAGGGACATGCTGTTGAGCTGCTGCGACAGATGAGCACGCAAAGATTCCTTGCAGAGAGCCACAAGCAGCACGGTGTGAAGCGTGCTGCTGCTCATGGTGAGCTGTCCTTCATCACAGCCATTGTCCCGGATGGTGAGCTGACGCTTGTGAAAGAGGTGTCCGTGGATGGGGCTGCGTGGCCTTCTGGGCTGAACTCCTGCCCAGACAATCTGGACCAGAGATGCATCCATCTCCTGCACAAGGAGCTCGGGGAGCATGACTTGGCCCTCGCAGAGACCAAGTTCGGCAAAGGCCTGGAGACCACCAAAGGGTACAGAGATGGGGACATTATTCTCTATGCCACCGCCCTTTGGTTCGACGACTTGAGCCTCTTGAAAAAGTTCCTCGCCCGACCCGGGTACAGTGCCCTGCTAGACCGCTTCTTGGCTTCAATCAAGCAGGGTTAGGGTTTAGGGTTTAGGGTTTACGGTTCAGGGTTTAGGGTTCAGGGTTTAGGGTTTGGGGTTTAGGGTTTAGGGTTTAGGGCGTTTAGGGTGTTTCCTCAATCTCTGGTATCACGGTGCTCACATCCCAACTCCCAGGCCTCATCCGCTTGGAGAACGTCCCGCTGGACAACAACGCTACTGGAACCTTGTATGGAATTCTTGTTGGAGCGGCGTCCTACTTGCAGCATTACCTGGGCTTGTCGAAACGAGGCCACCTGGGACTAGTGTTTTAGTGAGTCGCCTGTCCATTCCAAAATCACCCCCCCCCCCCAAAAAAAAAAAAAAAAAAGAAAAGAAAAAAACAGCTTCAATGAATGGCCCCGGGCTTGCAGGCCCGACTGTGGAGCTTGTTCCGATGTGTGGCAACGGCGTGTCCCCGACGCTCGTGGCAGTTCGAGTTCGGACCCGGAATCACATGGGAATCTCGTCTCGCACGCTCCTATGCTGCAACTACGGGATGGATTATGACTTCGGCGAGCAGCAGCAAACGGATGAAGAGTTTGAGGCAGCCAAACGCTTCAAGGGGCGACTGGATCAGCTCTTCCAGAACCAGCGTGAGGGTGCCAAGAAAGAGGACGACAAGAGGCCAGACGAGGCGGAGCCCACGAAGGAGCCGGGTTCGGAGCCTGGACCCTCTCCGCGCCAGGGCCTGGCCATGATCTCTTTGACATCCTTGGACACCTGCGAATTTGGCATTCTTAAGGGTGAGAACGGCGTTAAGCTGGTGTTGAAGGCGCTGGAGGACGTGAAGACCAACAAGAAAGTGACGCCCAACACCGTGCTCCTCTTTGTCGGGAATGGCAAGATCAAGAAGCCTGAGGATGGCGAGAGCGGCCAAATGCAGTACATGTTCCCCAAAACAGACAAGTGCATGGTGCACTTTGCCACGAAGGTCACCGCGAAGAAGGACAAGCCGGGCGAGTTTCAGGCAGACCTCGAGAAAGCCGAGACATTGTCTGGACTCATCGCCCGTAAAAAGATCAAAGAGGTGATGAACCTTGCGAGCTTCCCGCCGGGCGCGTCTCCCACGTCCTTGTGCAAGAAGGACACGGTCTTTGATCCCGTGGATGAGAATGCCAGGTTGGTGGTGACCCTTGACTGAGTCCTAAGGGTTTTAATTGGACTACATGCACTGATAGAGAAAGGTTCGCGGGGTTCGGGTTGGGGCTTCAAAGATTCGTATAGGTAGGGGGTTGAAGCGTCTACTTGAAAGTGTCGATTGGGCGATCTGAGGAAGCAGGCCATGAGCATGAGCCAATGCAAAGTGACCTGGGTCTTCAAAGAAGCTGGGGAAGCCAAGCTTACACCGTGCGGAGTGGCCGTAGTGCTTGCGAAGCAAGTGATTGTTTCGCCCAAGAGCCCATTGGAGCTCTCGTAAGCCAGTGGCTGAATGAGGGCCTGCGGCACTGTCGGGACTTTGGGTTTGAGAGCTCGAATATGAAGTACTTATATCTAGATATGCAGTGTCGGCCTGTGATTTCAAGTCCAGCCCGGCGCAAGCACAGCCGCGCCAGGCATTTTGGGACGCAAGACACATGATCCTCTGATTGCGCAGCGCTTCGGAAGAGAGAGAAACGCTTGCAAACGCAAAGCCTCGACACCTTCCTAGACCCCTGGAACTTGCGAACAGGAATCCGCCATGGAATTGCTGAAGCCTTCAAGGTTTAGGGCCGTTCAGGTTTTAAGCTTCAAGACTTTGCCATTGAGAGCCCACTAAGACCCTGAGCCCCGGGGCCTGGAGTTCTTAGAGGTCCTGGGGTTTTGGGTTTCAGGTCTCATTCTCAACACCTTTCCTAGACCACCAGCAAACCCCCGGAACTTCCGTACAGGAAATGATGCCATGGAATTGCCAGTTTTAGGGTTGCTTAGGGCTTAGGGTTCAAGATTTTGCCCTGCAAAGCCCATGAAGACCCTCAGGCCTAACCGTAGGTTGGAGTTCCTCGAGTTCGTAGGGTTTTAGGTTTAAGGTGTCATCCTCGACACCTTTCCTAGACCACCAGCCCCAACCCCGGGAACTTGCGAGCAGGAAATGATGCCATGGAATTTGAAGGTTTAGCGCTGTTTAGGGCTTCGAGTTCAAGACTTTGCCTTGGAGAGGCCATTAAGACCCTAAACCCTAAAGCCTTCAACCTAGGCTAGAATTGTGAGAGTCCCTATAGTTTAAGCTTAAGGTCTCATCCTCGACACCTTTCCTAGACCACCAGCCCAAAACCCTGGAACTTGCGAACAGGAAATGACGCGGCGTCGTCATCGGCAGCATGACAGGCGGAACGGGCCAGGGCCGTTTGGGGCTCAGGCTGCAACACTTTGCCTTGGAGCCCGCTAAGACCCGAACCCCTAAAACCAAAAACCTAGGGCTAGAGTTTCCAGGGTTCCTGGGGTTTAGGTTTCAGGTCTGCTCCTCGACACATGACCGCCGGCCCAAACCGCTGGAACTTGCGAACAGGAAATGATGCCATGGAATTGCCACGTTTAGAGGTGTCAAGGGCTTAGGGTTGACCACCCGCCCAAACCCCTGGTTCAAGACTGACCCGAAGCCCTATAGAACTTGAGTTCCTAGACCGCCAAGTTCCTAGAGTTCCTAGGTCTCATCCTCGACACTTTTCCTAGACCCCCTGGAACTTGCGAACAGGAAATGATGCCGTGGAATTTGAAGGTTTAGCGCTGTTTAGGGCGTCGAGTTCAAGACTTTGCCTTGGAGAGGCCATTAAGACCCTAAACCCTAAAGCCCTCAACCTAGGCCAGAATTGTTAGAGTCCCTATAGTTTAAGCTTAAGGTCTCATCCTCGACACCTTTCCTAGACCACCGGCGAAAAACCCTGGAACTTGCGAACAGGAAATGATGCGGCGTCCTCATCGGCAGCATGACAGGCGGAACGGGCCAGGGCCGTTTAGGGCAGAGGGTTCAAGACTTTGCCTTGGAGCCCACTAAGACCCGAAGCTCTAAAACCTTCAAGGGTTCAAAGTGTCTTGGGTTTTGGGGTTCAAGTTGTTGGCGTGAAAGCTTAGAGCTTGAGTGGCCCTGGGGCTTTTTAGGGTGCATTCTTGATGGTGTGTTCGGTTTATGTAGTGTGCCGACAATGTCGTGTTGTCAAGGCTGACCGACAAAGAAGGGGTGGCGCGTAAGCTGAAATGTGGCAGTGCTTGGTGACATCATAGGCGGGCTTGCGACAGTCCTGAACCCAACCATACATCTATTTTCCAGAGAGCAGATGACTAATGAACTAACACTGTGTTGAAGGGGCCGCGTTTCTGCGACATGGGTGGAGAGTCAGAGTGCGGCAGCCCCTGTGGCCTGGTGTGGTATGAGAGTGACGACGAGGTCATGGTAATTGGGGCGGAGCCTTCTGAACCAGAGGGCATTGAACCAGAGGGCGTTACATTCCAAATGCCCCCTGAGCAGATGGACATGGAGACTCCATCTGGTGGTGTGGCGTTCGAGGACGGCCATGAGAATGTCAGCTTGCAGTCCAATTCCTGGGTCCCGGGAATGAACTGTGGCTCGATCATAAGTCCCTTGACCCCTGCTCTCCATCAGGCACAGGTGCTGATAGTCAATACAGTTGCAAACGTCAAGAAACTTCCGAAGCAGCTCACGAAGGATGTCCTCCACCAGGTCAGTGACATCAGGTGCAGCACTGGCAAGTCATATGCTGAAGTGCTAGCAGCATCCTTGTTGGGGCTCTCGCGCCAAACTGTTTCCAGGTGCTGGAGGCATGTGGAAAGCAATGCTTGGTCGCCGATTGATCGTGAAGCATTGCACCCAGACCCAAAACCGCAGTCACAGCAAAGCACGCCATCGCCTGAACTGGAGAAGGATAGCGAGGAAACCCGATGGAAGAAGAGTGCAGCGGTTTGCGTCCGCGCTGCCATTGCTTGTGCTGTCGAAGGGAAGTCCAAATCATGTTACGAGAGGGATATAGCACGGCTGCGGCTTTGTGGCGTGGATGTGGATGGGGCACACTGCCACGGGCGCAATTTCTGCGCAGAGACAGAGTACCTGGCAGGACAGGTTCTGCACATGATGAACGCAAACGACTGGTCCTCCGTTCTTGGAGGGCTGGGCGTGGAATCCGATTTTGCGCTGATGGCCGACCCTGTCTCCTTGGGAAAATGCACCGCGTTTCCCCGCAACGAGACAATGCTAATTGCCAATTTGACCATCGTCAGTGCCGAGGATGGCTCACTTTTAACCCCGATGCTGGACTACCGAACGCTGGCAGTTGGAAGCCACAGCGGCCCTGAGATCACACGGCTCCTGCTGGAGATGCTGTCGCAACACCCTAGCATGATGGACTTGCCCACGTTGAGGGCTCGATTAGCCATGATAGATGGCGACGGACAATTAGTGAGAGGAGGGCAGCAGGCCCGCCACTCCAGCAGCGGAGCCGCAGAGCTGCTGTGGCAGCAGGTGCATCCAGAGGCCGAGGCGAACTCGTTGGTTGTGTGCACGCGCTGGGATGATTTTCACAGGCAGTGTGTGGGGAGAGCTTAACGTCTGCAGCAATGTAACAATGTAGCTTTCATGATCTTCAGTGTCTATTTACAAGGAAAGTAGGCAAGAGTACTTGGAGCAGGATTGACAACGCAATCATGCGGGCAGTGCGTCGGTCGCCTCCTGCCAGCGAATGCTTCGATGTGGCTGCATCGTGTGATCGCTTGTTCAATGTCGGGGAGGGCAAGGTGATGAAACGCGCAGCCTGCAAGAGCCTTTTCTGGATGTATTTTTTTGTGCAACATGGACACTCGTGCGCGATCAGTTTAGGATGGCTTAGGGGCTGGGCCTGCAGGCGCTCTGAACTCCGAAGCTCCAAGCAAAGTTTAGCCTCGGCCCCGAACCCGTCTCCCTCGAAAGAACTTCAAACCGAGTTAGCGAGTTAGGGCAGTCGGGAGATACATTTAAACCCTAGGCTACCTGGACTGACTCACTTTGTTGAGGAGAGCTGGTGGCACCGGAGCCGGTTTAAGAGGCCCCGGAGGGACCCGGAAGATCGGGCACCTGAGTGGGGCTCCTGGTGGTTTGATTTTGAACTACCAGATTATTCTTCTGTGTCTTCATGGCAAAGTTGCTTGGAAGAAGGAAGGCAAAGGTAACGTGTCACTCACCAGCCTTTTCGATGTCGGCAGACGTATTCAAGAACCCTCATTCGTCTTTTTCTTGGTTGGTTTCGATGTGGCGCTGCTGAAGATTGTCCGTCCCTTCGCGCTTGTTGTCCAGAAAGCAGAAGAAGCGTCGGTGATAGAACGAGCCAGGCGCAACATGGAAACTTCCCTACGGACAATCCATGCATCCTTCGAAAAGGTGAAAGCCATGCTTGGTGCAGTGGCCTGCTGTAGACAGCATTGTGCCCCCAAAGAGCTGGCGCGCTTGATGTGTGCATGTCGGTACACATCATGGGGGAAACCGGTCAGATCTTTCATCTTGCATGCCAGTAAGCTGCTGTACAAGATTCCTCCGGAGTTTCAAGGGTGCAAATTGCAGTTCACTGCAAAGTCTAGCCCTGGGATCATGAGCTTGGGAAGTCATTGCCAGTGCCTGTCCGAAGAAGAGCATTGTCGCAAGGGCAGGCGGCGAGCCGTGCCGGACTGCAGAACAGTCAAGACCAAAATCTATGTTTTTCGACGGGGCCGTCGTGTGCAGAAGCAAGTACATGTGCCTTTGTGGACCATGCTTGACATCGACTCAAATGCCAACTTCTTCTGCCCAAGGCAGCAGAAAAGAGACTGCGGACAGAGGCCGGTGCTTGGTATGGACTACAAAAACATGTTTCGAGCGCGGCTGCTGCGAGACGATTGCCTTTGGAGCCGATGTCAAGTGCCACAAGGGGTCTTCCAAGTCCATGTTGCATGTGTACAGGCCATTGATGCACTACTGGACTTCTTGAAGTACGTTAAGGATGAGGTAAGCGACATCTTCGCAGATGTTGGGATGAATACGCACATGCTTTCCTTGCTGCACGCCGGCGAGATGGCGTTTGATTGGACCAGCTTGTTGGCTCAACCGCCAACGCGAGCATGTGTCACATCTTTTGGCAAACTCCTCAAGTTGTTCCGGCCTTACTTAGACAAGGCACGATGGCCTCTCGGCGATGCCTTTCAGAAGGTGCCCCAGACCTGGTCCCTGCAGACACAGGAGTTCAACCAGCAGTATGAGCTACTGGTGTCGAGAGTGCGCCGCAATCTCAGCTGACCAAGCTGTCAGGTTTAGGTATCCTAAGCCCAAAGCCTGGACCTCAAACCCTAAGCGCAAAGGTCAATGCTACGAGGACAGCTTGGAGACGCGATCGGGCAAGAGCGATGTTCCGCCGAAAACATTGCGCAGCGCCAGGAGCTGGACCTCTGTTTCAGGGTACATGGTGTGTCCAGTCAACAGTTTCCCCGGGCTTCGTTGGACTTTGGGCAAGGCACTCGGTCTGCCCGCCAAGTGCCCAGCGATGGCTTACATTGCATGCAGAGTGTCGCAATTCTTGGGATCTTGGAACGGGCAGCACTTCACGAGAAAGGACAACTCGAGATTCGAGGTCTGTGTGGAATCAGTGCGTAAGTACACTGGGCCCTCCACAAGCAAGAGAAGGAGGAACATTGATGCAGATTCAGCCTTTCATGCGTATCGCGTGGCCGTCCTTCAGAACCCACAAGACCTGAAGGGCAAGCTGGTCATTCTTGAAGAACCTTTGCGCAAGATTGACCCGTCCCGCATAGCAGCATCTCTGGACACTGACCCTTGGTTCAGCCTTGGAGAGTCGCACTCTCCTCATGCCTGGCACGCGACCAGAGTCCATCATCGTTGGCGACTACTCTCGGCCCCAGAGGCTGCCGTGGAGAGAGTAGGCTCCATGATGAACAACCTGTGGTCTGATAACCAGCATCCGTCCCCTGGGGCCTTCATGGTCCGGGTGATGTTGCAGCAAGCCTATGTCTCAGTGACGGGACATACCAGAGACGAGCTTCTTGTTCGTGCGGTTGTCGAGCTCATACAACGGACCCGTGTCAGGCAGAAAAAAAGTGGACGACCAAGAGAGCTGAATCAGGTGCAAGCGCTCCATGACCGCATAGAGAATTCCGGCCGTTGGCACAGCAGCCTTTTCGATGGGTGCTCCGCCCAAGAGGTCTTGTCCCTTATCGAGCCCGAGAGTCTGCTACAATCGCGCAGTACTGTGCGAGAGTTGCGAAAGGCCGCGCTAGCGCGCGGGCTGCCCTCGACTGTGCCTGAGACTATCGAGCATTCCTGGAGCAAGGCCATGGCCTCGGGAGTTGTGGAATCTTTGCCCATGGGTGTGTCAGTTCAGCGAAAGAGTGCGGGCAAAGCAGCTCCCTCGACAATGCAGGCGCGACTAGATGATTGGTTGGACAGTGAAGAAGGAAAGAAGTGGCAATCCCGGCGCCAACAGATATGGGCTCCCGGAAGCGAGGCAAAGGTCAGTCAGATTGAGTTTCACTAGCTAGTGAAGATGGCAAGCAACCACTAGCAGCGGGGTGTCTGCTGGTGAAAACGTCGCTTTGCTTGCTGGCCTGAATTCCCAACCTGCCTGATCTCGCGTGCTAGTGTCAGGCTCGGGCCTGGAGCACAGGATCTCTCCACTGACAGACTGACAGATCCCTATTTCTGGATACTTCTCCCTTCTTACGCAAATCACCCGCCCCTGAACCTGGGTTTAGGGTTTAGGGTTCAGGGTTAAGGGTTTAGGGTTTAGAGTTTAGGGTTTAGGGTTGAGAGTTTAGGGTTTAGGGTACTGAAAGCCATGATGTTCAATGCGTATTGGCCTTCATTTTCGAGCGCCGTATACGTGCACACAGCCCAAACTCCGTACAACCCTAAGCCCTAGAAGCCCTGAAGGCGTCCACTAGCCCGGCTGCAATTTGCCGAACCTCCGCCAAGCGATCACAAATCGATGGTGTAGGGTGTTGGGCTTAAGATACACTTATAAGGGCTTTTGCAAGCGTCTGTGCAGATGGCTGAAGATGGTGTCATGTTCGAGGGCAGCAGCAGCAGCAGCCGTGAGCAGATGGCTGAAGATGGTGTGATGTTCGAGGGCAGCAGCAGTGAGTCGAGCGACGTTCCCTGCGGGTGCCAATGGGAAAGAGAGTCAGCAGGGTCTTCAATGGACATCGCAACGTTTGAGGCTGATGCCGATGTTGCCAATCGCATAGAGTCAGCTGGGTCTTTCGCAACGTTTGAGGCTGATGCCGATGTTGCCAATCGCATTGCTGGTGTTAATCCTGTACCAGATTCCACAAGTTCCCTTGTCACCGCATTTCGCGCGGGAGTCTTCATGGTCGAATTCTTGCAGCAGACCTTTGGTGCTGAGAAGCTGCGACTGGCCTCCAAATCAGGAGCATGCATGGGTTTTGTCGGTGGAAGATATATGCTAGATAGCTCTCATGTTGCATAGCTGATGCTTCTTTTAGACAGCCAGAAACTAGCCTCCTTTTCCCACATCATCTCAGGAGAGAAAGCCTTCTGAACCATGCCAACCTGTTCTCCAGCCATTGCTCCGGCATCGGGTCGCCGGAACAGGCCTGCGACATTTTGCAAGCTGCTTTGACTGCGACACTGGGCTGGCCCAAGCGATGGCAATCTGTGTCGGCTTGCGAGATCAACAAAGCGTGCTGCGCGATTTTGGAGCAGAAGCTGCCAAGCGATTGTTGCATCAATCGCAACATATTTGATGCCTTTCCGGGCTGGGATTCAAGCCTGGGCCCAAGTCCAACAATTTTGGAGAGGTGGACGGCTTTGTGCTCGGCGTGGCGCCCAGACATCAAACTTCCTTGTGCAGCGCACGGCGGTTTGTGCAAACAGAGACGTTCAAATTTGAATGTTACAGGTTCCCCATGCCAGCCGTGGAGCAAAGCTGGCCGAAAACAGAAAACAAGTGACGTCCGTTTCAACGTCACTTTGGCTTACTTGTGCTGGATCTGGTGTACAAAACCAGTGGTGGCTCTGCACGAGAACGTTCTGGGCTTCCACAAAAACATCATCCCGGAGCTCATAGGTTCACTATACAAGGTCATCGATTTGCACATCCAGCCCTCCGATGCCGGGTTCGTGCCTGAACTGCTTTCAGAATGTTATGATTTCAGAATGTTATGATTCTAAGGCTGTGTAAAGGTTTTCAGGTGTTCACGGGTTCAGGGTTCCAGTCGATTTCGAAGTCCAGGTATTCGTCGGCCGCCCACGGCACTTTGCGATAATAGTGCGGAAGGACGTGGAAATCACCCGCAATATGTTGACCGTTCTGCAAGAAGCTTCCAAGTACATCAAGGAGAAAGTTGGATTTCCGCGAGTGTCTGCGTGCATGGTTGCGACTGCTGAAGAGTGTTTGCTGTGTGAGAACAAAGCAAGGCTTAAACGAGGCTTGGGACCGCTAACTGTCGCAAGCTCTGACTGGTCATACCTGCTTACCACCAAGCAGGTTGGGTACCTCCGCGATTACCATAAGCTTTGGGAAGAGCAAAATGCGAAGAAAGGCGCAGTGTCAAATTTCCCTCCCGACCTCCTGATGAACCTATCGCAGGACCCCAACGTGCGCCCCGCCATGTTCCAGCACCTGCCCACGATGCGGGCAAGCGGGGGAATTCTCTGGAGCCCTTCAATGAAGAGATGGCTGTTGGACAGGGAGTGTGCTCTCGCAATGGGGTGGCCTGTGTTACAGGCCACCGCTTCCGCAGCTGGCGTGCCCATGGACAGCTTCGACTACAAGACATCTCAGCTGGGCAACTCAATGCATGTCTTTGCAGCAATGCTTGCGCTAGCAGTTGCTCTCGGGTGCACGCGCATGCAGGTGGAGCACCGGCCGGCGTAGGTTGAAACATGTGATGCACCCCTGAAATCCCCTGAGCCCCCCCCCACCCCCCCCAAAAAAAAAAACCCTGCCCACAGCGATCCACCATCCCGATTCTGATGCAATCCGTATTGCCTACAGTTGGCCCCCCCCCCCATACCTTAGAAACGTGTTTCTGGGAATCATCGCGTCGTCGAGGAAGTGATACCTAGTCACAATAGATACCTTCACTGTATGTCCGCCACGTGGCCTCGCGAATTCTACTCCTTGCAGCCTCGTAACCAGCTCCTTGTATTCTGGTCATTTTAGGAAAGATGTAGAACGATACGGTTCGAGAAATAACCGTTTTGATGCCATGTAACAAAGACTCGTGATTTTGGGTTACAGCAAAAAAGCCTGGAATTAATACACTTGGCAGTGTATAAATGCTCTGCGCCAGGCGCAGCTCGGCGGCCAGAATGATGAAGCAGCCCTGCGTGGCACCGGATGAAAGAAAATCGCTCGCGCAAGCTGATAACGTATAAGCTGATAGGTCAACCCTAAACCCTAAACCCTAAACCCTAAACCCTAAACCCTAAACCCTAAACCCTAAACCCTAAACCCTAAACCCTAAACCCTATATTGGTCCCCCTTCTTTTAGTGGGCCTTTTGAAGCTTTCTAGGCCCTTGGCCGAGCCCTGGTTGGGGGGGCCCTTGGCGGGGTGAAACGCTTGGCTCGGGGGGCCTTTGGTTCGGGGGCCCTTGGCCTGGGCAGCTCAGGGGGTGCTTTGCTTGGCTCAGGGCGCCCTTGCATGGGGGGGACCTGTTTCTTGGCCAGGGGGCTCTTGACACTGGCCTGGGGGGCCCTTGGCGGGGGAAGTGGCAAAAAAGGCAGGTGTGTGCAAAACCTTGGCAAGCCGGGCCAAGGGCCCTTGGGCCTTTGGCCTGGCAGGGAGACCCCTTGGAACGCAAACCCTTGGCCAGGGGCACTTGACCCTTGGCCGGGGGGGGGCCCTTGGCTGTAAAGGGCCTTTGGGCTAAAGGTCGTTGGTCGGCTGTGGCCGGAAAAGGCCAAGGGGCCCTTGGCCCCTGAAACCCTTGGCCCTGGAGGTGGCTCGCCCTGGGGCCCTTTGCCCAGCAGGCCCTTGGCCCTTTCTGCCTTGGCCCTAGGCCCTTGATCTGGACCCTTGGCCTTGGCCGGGGGGGCCCAGAAACCCCTGGCCCGGGACCCTTGCACGGGGGGCGCTAGGCCCTTGGCCCGGGGGGCCCTTGGCCCTGGGGGCCAAATCCCCGGGCGTGGCCGGAAACCCTTGACCAGGAGCCCTGGATCAGGGGCCCGTGGCCCCAAACCCTTGGGGGCCCGGGGGGCCCTTGGCCCGGGGCCCCTTGGCCCGGGGGGCCCTTGGCCCCGGGGGCCCGGAGACCCAGAGAACTGTTTCTCCAAAATCACGAAATTGAGCAACCACCAGAGGGGGGGCTGGTCTGGGTGCCGGCCATCCCTTAGCCGAGTACTGACGTTGTCGTAAAAAAGGCCGATGTCCGTTGGCCTGTCCAGGACAGACGGTGAGGCTTAACCCTCACCTTTCCGTTTCTCTTTTCGCTTGGGCGCTCCATCTGTAAGGCCCTCGGCCGAGCGTTCGGGGTCTGTCGCTCGACGGAAGCGACCCCTCACTTAGTTTAGGGCTCCGGGCTCAGGGCTCAGGGCTTAGGGCTTCGGAGCTTCTGAGGTGCAACCCAAACCCTACTTGGAGGTTCGTGGTACTTAGAAAACCAATCATAGCTGTACTTCTTAGGGTTTAGGGTTTAGGGTTTAGAGCTCTTTTTTAGGATACTTCAGGGGCTTATATGTGGGTGATAGCTACACTTGTAATGGGTTGCTAAGTACCCTGAACCTCCAAGTAGACTTCAATGGAACTTCTGGCGAGCACCACGTCCGAAGGCGACGCGGACCTCGAGTCCCTCAAGGTCCGCTTCTTGAGGGGCATTAGGCGGTTTAGGGTTTAGGGTTTAGGGTTTAGGGTTTAGGGTTTAGGGTTTAGGGTTTAGGGTTTAAGGTTTAGGGTTTAGGATTTAGGCTTTTGAGTTTTGGGGAGACCTAGATCCCCTGACACCCTAGACTCAGAGCCCCAAACCCTGAAATCCTGGCAGCGTTGAGGGTCTTTGGGGACAGGGTTTTGTGGGGCTTAGGGTTTAGGGTTTAGGGTTTAGGGGGATAGGGTTTAGGGTTTAGGGTTTGGGGTGTAGGGTTAGTGTTTAGGGTTTAGGGTTTAGGCTTCAGGGTTTAGAGGCTTTGGGAACCCGGGTGCCTCGCCTCTAAGCCGTAAGCCCACTTGGGCTTTTGGGATGGAACCCTAAGCCCTCAACCCTAGACCCTATACCCCCCCAAAGCCCCCCAAACCCCCCCAAACCCCAAGACCTAAGCCCAGTAAGCAGGAACAAGCCGAATGCATAAGGGTGGCAAATTGGGGACCCTTAAGATACCCCCCCAAATAGTAGGATTCCCTTCTAATAACGACCCAATAAGGCACCTAATATTCAAAACCCCCCCCCCACCCCCCCCCCCCCCCCCCCCCCCCACCCCCACCCACCCCCAAATACCGATGGAATCCCAAAATAGGGGTACCCCTAACCTACCCCCCCCCCCCCTCCCCCCCCCCCCCCCCCCCCCCCCCCCCCCCCCCCCCCCCCCCCCCCAAATACGATCATCCTTAACGCCTCCCAAAATAGGGGTACCCCTAATTTCGGAAGCCCCCCTATCTGCGAGAGGCAAAGGCACTAGCTCAGCCACAAGACCTCGGCGCGGTGCAGGCCAGCCTTTTAGGGTTTAGGGTTTAGGGTTTAGGGTTTAGGCTTTAGGGTTTAGGGTTTAGGGTTTAGGGTTTAGGGTTTAGGGTTTAGGGTATGTAAGGGGTAAACACCCTAAACCCTAAAAGCTAAACCCTAAACCTTCAAGCTTCTGGTTTGAGTGTTTGGCCGTGTCCTGGGTCCTAGGTCTAGGAACCCTACAAACCCTATAAACCCTAAACCCGGAACCCTACATGCCCCTCCAAACCCATTATCCTAAACCCTGACCTAGGCCTCACATACCCTAAGCCATAATCCCAAGCCCTGCCTGGCTAGGCACGCCATACTTGTGCTCCACCCGCCGTCCTCTACGGCACGCCCCGCATCTGCAGAAGCATGGTAAGGAAGATGGTGCAAGTGCAGGACGCAAGGAGTGGAATTTGGTGCAGGCACAAGGCCAGTCGGATTAGGGGGGGAACATCAGCTTGTGCCAGCTGGCAGCCTCCGCCTTCACCCCATTTCACGTTGCCAAGGATCTGGGGTGATTCCTCGCAGACCAAGACCAAGCCGCCCGAGTCCAAAACGCATGGCGGCAGGCCGTAAACAAAGCTGGAACGATGTATCGACAAGTTCTCGGCAGGTTATATTCAACGATCTGATTCGCGCAGTGCTTAAGCTCAACAACTGTGTTGTCGGCAACACCTTGATACGGCAACGCGGAGATGCACCAGTGAGCTCGCCACGCAGTCCGGCGTTGTGTGCAACATGGTGGTGGCTGTTGAAGAACAGTGTTGGCACCTCACCTACCGCCAGTTGCTAAACCCTAAACTCTACATATCCTAAACCCTAAACCCTTTATAAACCCTAAATCCTAAACCAAAACCCTAGATACCCTAAACCCTAAACCCTCAACCCCTGGCCCGAACCCAAAATCGCTTCAGGCTCTAAAAACCTGCAGGCTTTAGGGCTTACTTGGAGGTTCAGGGTACTTAGCAACCCATCAGAAGTGTCGTTATGACCCACATACAAGCCCCTTAAGTACCCTGATGGGGTTATAATTGGGTTCTAAGTACAGTTCTATGTGGCTCGCTAAGTACCATGAACCTCCAAGTAATCCCCCAAACAGTGTGTCAACAGTACGGGGTTCCAATACGAAGGCTACCTAAACCCTAAACCCTCAACCCTCAACCCTAAACCCTAAATCCTAAACCCTAAACCCTACGCTGAAGCCGCACGGTGCAGTCGCCGGCGGATGGGGCCTTTATCAACTTCTAACTGCTATAGGGTTCAGGGTTTAGGGTTTAGGGTCTAGGGTTCACGGTTTAGGGTTTAGGGCTCCTGGGGCCTAGAATCAGAACAGGTTTTGGGGGCCCATTATAGGAGCTATAAGTATCTTGGATCATCAGGGAAGCCTGCTTGCATGTTGGACGAGAAATCACGTTCGCGCCCCGAAGCGTGAGAGTGCCGGCACCCGCCATCCTCGAAACTGTCCTCGCTTCTTGGCTTCTGTGTCCGCGAGATGCGAATGTCTGTCGTTGCTCTTGGACGTCGGGTTCACCCTGCGGGAAGCTGGGTAGCTCAGTGGTGCCCCCTTTCCCCGTTTTTTGGGTTCCAGGTTCTCTTGTGAAGCAACCAACCCCAACAAGGGTACCCTTATCAGAATATGGTCACTGGGCTGCCAAGGAAACTGTCGTGGCTTGGGCTCCCGAAATGCGAAGTGCACGTCTGTCATGCCGTGATGGACGAAGCTCTGTGCCCTTCGCACATCGATGAATCCGAAGTCGCCCAAGCCCCGCATTTTTGGGCTTGGTGGCACCCGTGTGCCCCTCTTGAGGTTCTAGGTTCCCTTATACAGTAACCGTTGTAACCAACCCGAAAAAGGGTACCCTTATTATGACATGGTTACTGGGCAGCTAAGTGGGTTTGTGGGGTTTGTGGGTTTGTCGTGTCTAGCGGTTGTGGGGTGATAGGGTTTTAGGGGTTTGTGGGGTTCAGGGTTTTCTTAGGGTTTTTGGGATTAAGGGTTCTAGGGTTAAGGGTTAGGGATCAAGGTTTTTGGGGTTAGGGTTTGTGGTTCAGGGTTCAGGGTTTCCAGGCCTATGCCGTCACCGTCTTCTGGGAACAGGGAGAGGCGGGCGGGGGCAGGGTGTGGGACTTCTCTGGGGTCTTGTTAAGTGGACTTAGATTCTGTAAGTTAGCAGAAGGGTGTTATCTTATGCCCTTTGAAGGGCGTAGGGGCGGTTGCCGGTGCCGGTTCC